TCAACATTCCCCTTAAAAAAGTTCCTGTAAACAAAGAGGGGAAAACTTTGATGTTACTGTGGAAGTCCTTCACTGCTGAAAGCAGCAAAAAGTAGCCAGCAGGAGGGAAACTGTCCTGATTCACACACATTTCATCTGCTTTTACTCTCACTTTGCTTTTTTTAATGAGGCTCAAAACAAACTTGCGCAGAAAAGTGTCTGTCAGTAATTTGAAAGGTAGAGGCTCCAAAGGGATATTTGTTTGGCTTTAAAAGAGTCGTCATGCTGGTTAAGCCCCACCAGATTTTAAAAATAATTCAAAGTAATTTAATCCTCTAATTTTAGTAGGATCCCTGATTTATTGATAGTATCTCTGGTTAACACAGCTTTTCTTGTTGTGCCTTGTATAAAAATGCACCCCTCTTCCTCTTGTTTTAATTCAAAGAAGCTGCATTAGATTGATTCTGGAGATAAACACAGACATGGACATGAGAACAGGTAGCAGTCAGGATGTTCAAAACTGTGCATGCTCAAGAGCTCACACACGAGGCTTAGGCATAGAAGCACATGTGTGTAGGGATGTGGTTTAATGTCACAAGTCAGTCTTGTGCTCAAGTTTTTATGAAAATAATGATACCATAATATGAACTATAGCACCCTGCCTCTCTTTTCAAGATGATTTGTTCTCTAAAAGGATCATATTTAACAGCTGGTATAAGAAGCATATTTTCAACAAAACATGTCTTGCTGTTGAGTCCTCCTTTTCTCACATATTCTAGAGTTGGCAGTGACTTAAAACTAAACCTCAGCTGTCACATCACTGCTGTTTGCAGTGCCTGCTCTGGCAACTAGCCTAATAGAGGCGTACTGTTACTGTTATTGGCCCCAAAACACCCCAGAGAGACATTTTCTAAAAATATAACCACCTTAGATGACACCAGCCTGGAAAAAAAAGACACTTTAAGGAATATGGGAGTTTTACTTGTTCAGGATTTGTCCTTCAACTCTCATATATAACAGATTTCAAGGACAGCCTTTTTTCCACCAAAGCAATGTTGCAAAAATTAAACACATCTTATTTCAGACTGATGCTGAGAAACTAGTCCAGGCGTTTGTTACCTCGAGGATGGATTACTGTAATCCCTTTTTTATCAGGCTGTCCCTGTAAGTCTTCAAAGACTCTTAAGCTGGTTCAAAACACTGCAGCTAGAGTACTGACTAGAACTAGAAAAAGAACGCATGATGAATAATGTTAAAAAATAATATTATCGAGTGATAAAAAGGCGACTTGTAAAATAACATTCAAACATTACAGAGGCAGATCTTGATTTTGCCTTAAACAGTATTAATACTCTGCACCACCCTCAGGTCTTCATCTGTTCCACAGATGTGGGCCGTAGCAATAAAAAGTTTTCTCACCATGACTCTTTGTTCTGACTTTTAGCAGAATTAGAAGCCCACTGACCCCCACTCCGATTGTTTTTTTTTAATACTTAAAGTGTTATCTGGTCTTTAAGTTGTGATTATGAAGTTTTTAGCCCAAATCGCATTATCTTAGGTAACACGGGAAGTAGGGGTTTTGGGGGTGCTGCAGCACCCCCTGCTGGTGGCAGTGCAGCACCCCAAAAATGTAATTAGTAATTACATTTTTGTGTAACCCTTTTTGAAGACTAGCTTCATTAATTAGAAGCTAGTCTTGTAATTAATATGAGGTCACTTTGAGCCAACTGGACCTTCCTCAGTAGGCTAATTAATAAAAACTAGTGCTGTCAATCGATTATTTTTTTAAATCGTGATTAATCACATGAATGCCATAGTTAACCTGCGATTAATCGCAAATTAATCGCACATCCAAAATGTCCCTTGAATTCTCAATTAAATACTCACAATTGAAACATATCACTTTTTTCATGTTTAATTGGCAACAGCTTTAACAGGCAGCAGCATCAGTAGTGTTTTCTACAATCTGTAACATTCTCATATTGACAGTTTTTTTTTCACATTTGTAAGTAAATCTCACACTGGAACACTGTGTAGAGTGCTCTGCAACCATGTCTGTTAGTATGGTTCTTCAACAGTCTGAATGACCTTCCCACTCTGGGATGAAATGGCTATGGCCCTGAGGTAATGTTTTTATTAATTAGCCTACTGAGGAAGGTCCAGTTGGCTCAAAGTGACCTCAAATTAATTTCACAAAATCACAAATAAAAACAGCCCATTCAACAACCCTTTTAAGGGATCAAAACCTGGGTTAAGTAAAAAAAAAGTGTGTAAACTAGGACTCGGCCTATAGTGCAAGTAACCATGGTTTGAACTTTCATTATCTTAAATTCCCTTTGATATATACGGTACTAGCAGTCTATAGGCTATAGTGCTTTTCTGTCAAACAACTCAGCATCTCATTTGTCTCCATAGAAAATGAACATGAAAACAGAATGAACTGCTAAGCTAGTCTTCTACTTTGCTTTAAGCCAGTTACTCAAACAGACAAGCCTATTGATATTTTCAAAAAGGAGGGAAGCTCTCTTTTTCTGAACAACATGTCCAGACAGTGAAAAAAGCCTCTCAGAAGGTACTGAGGTCGCAGGTGTCGCCAAGTACTTGCGCGCAAGGTGAGCCATCTCACTGTGTGATGCTTCATGAGTGCACCACCATTCCTGGGGAGAGTCATCCATGCCAAGAAGAGGCTCTGCCTAGTAGTGCTGCAGACATTGTTCAACGCTGTCCTCCTCGTCAGATGAGGAATCCTGTGTAAGCATGAGAGCAGGTTTCTTCGTAGCCGGCTCAGATGTAACTTGATTGTCCCGCTGTGCAGGTGTCTCCTTCTGCATCTGCTGAAGCAAGGCGCGAACTGAATTCCACACCTGAGCCCTCTCTGGTTTACTGAGACATTTCAGGTCCTTGAACCTGAACCTACATATAGAGAAGATCCATTTCGCCGCCAAGTACAACTCGCACAACAACCTGGCCAGCCAACAATGTTATTTAATATGAGCTGACCGGCGGGCAAGACAACACATTTGTGTGACCCTGCATGCGAGCTACTATCTTGTTTCCGGTTGAAGGCGGAACTGTAGTTCTTCTCAGGGTTTCTTACAGCGCCCAGGTCGAATAAAAAACTACAAATATTTGTTTGGTCACTCTAAGCGTTAGTTGTTAAAAATATTGATGCCATTAATTTCGGCTTGCGTTAATACGTTAACAACGTGATAATTTTGACAGCATTAGTAATTACCCAAAAATAAATACATTAAATAAAGTGGAAAAACTGCTAAAAGTAAACTGAAAACATGAATTTTTATAAATGTTCACGGTCTGGCTTAACGTTCATCATAAAATTTATGTCATGCTAGTCACATGACCACAGTAAGGTCAAGTGTCACGTCCAGTCACTTTATCATTGTCAGCACTGACCACAGCGATGGCGCAAAAAAGGATTTTTGACTTCTTTGGGAAGCCTCAGAACAAAAGGCACAGCCAAGAGTTGGAGGAGGCAGACTCACAACCCAATCCACCCACCCTGAAAATGACCAAAACAGCAGCAGCACCCAAATTGTGACCCCGGGACCGGGACATCAGTGCATCTGCAACTCAATTCAATGTCCCAGGTCAAAATGCTAGTAAGTGGGAAGATCATTAGGTAAAGAAACGTTTTGTAGGTCATTCAATGCAAGCTGGTTTAGCAAATGGAGATGGCTCCATTATATTGAGGATGGTGACCGCGTTGTTTGTTTTAGGTGTATCCAAGCACTGGAGAAAGGTCTAATTCAAGAAAAGAGTGTGCAGCAGGACTGCTGTTTTGTCAAAGGAGGCTTCACAAACTGGCGGAAAGCCACAGAAAAATTCAAACAGCATGAGAAGTCTAAGCCTCACAGCGAGCCCTGCAAAAAATATCTGCTCTAAAAACAACCCCAATAAATGTACTTTTATCTGATGCTGCCTGCCCAGAATACAGAGAGACATGTCTTGGAACTGATGTTCAGGTCAGTGCTCTTCCTGGGAAAGAAGGGGTTGGCTTTTCGGGGTGACAGCAGCCAGGGTGGCATTTTGTATGAACTTATGCTGGAAAGTACCTACAACCTCCCAAAAGAGAGAGAATGGATTCTTAGGAGAGATAACTGGCTCTCGGTCACAATTCAGAATGAAGTCATTCAGCAGTATGCCTGCGCCATTCAGAGCATGATTGTGTCCCATGCAGGTGCAGCAAGTTGTCCCTACTATGGACTCTCAGCACAGACCACAGACGCTAGTACAATGGAACAATTTTCATTAATGCTGCAATATGTGGACGAGAACATGGAGACTCATTCTGATTTCCCTGGATTTTACAATGCTCTTGACAGCAGCAGAGAGATACTGTTCAAGTGCATCAGGGATGTTTTTCTCAGGCTAAACATTCCAATTGAACGTCTCCAGGGATACTGTTTTGATTGAGCTAGTAACACATCCGGACGGTTTACGGGTGTTCAAGCGTGGCTGAAAAAAATATGCTCTGAGTCTCTGTTCGTGCACTGTTCCAACCACTCATTTAACTTAGTTTTTCAAGAGATGGCCTGAGAAGTGAGTTTGATCGCTGACTCCATGAACTTTCATCCAAACCCAAGGAGCTCTACGAGTCCATGTTTGGCTGTGATGCAGTAGTTACCATACTGGCAGTATGACCGACAAGAGGGTGCATACGAACAATAGCCATCAAGCGTGTGTGCAGTGCCTACAGACAGATTATTGAAACTTTGGAGCAGCTTAAGGATGACAAAAGTGTGAGAGGAGAGACCAGAGCCAAGATCGGAGAGCTGTACAAGAAGGCGCTGAAAGTGAAAACCTACTTTGGCCTCCTGTGCTCTGAAGCACTTTTTGAGCCATGTGAGTCGGTGGCCAGAAGTTTAAAACACACCAAAGCCAGCTCACGGGTGCCCTTGAGTGCATCGAATTGCTGAGAAAGCGCATGGAAGCGCTTTCTCAGCAGAGATGATGCGGTGGTGGAGAACATACTGCACAAGGTATCCACAACTGGACTGAAAATGCCAGAAGGGCATAGGATGAGAAAAACCCCAGTCCACTACCGGCACACAACAGATCCAGAGGCAGCAGAACAACACTCATGGCGGTGTGAGTTTTATGAAGCAGTGCACCTGATTACAGAGGAAATGAAGAGGAGATTTGACCAAGATGGCATGAAAACAGCAGCTCTTAGGGAGAAGATGGTCCCTGTCAAAGTGCAAAGGAAGGTGCAAGGAACCCACATTCAGTGTTTTTTACTTTTTGGCTGCCTTGATGACCAACTGGAGACTCAGCTAAAAATGATCGGAGACGTCCTCGGCGACTCGCCTGGCGACACAGGACAAGACATAGCTGCAAATATGTCTAAACTCCATCCACAGACGAAGACTCTTTTCAAAGAAGCTGAAAACCTCATCAAACTACGCCTATGTCTCCCCATCTCAGCTGCAGCATCAGAGAGAACATTTTCCACTTTGTGCGGCCTGAAGTAGGCCTGGACGATATAGAAAAAAAGCATATCGATAAAAAATAAATCATATTGATCGATATCGATAATTATCGATATAATTATTATAATTATTTAACATATATTTTAATTGCAGCCCTGGATGTTATATGCTATTGCTTAATGACCTACTTTTAATAAAGAACACAGAAGCACTGAATTCAAATTCAAACCTTTATTCAACCACCTTTTTTATTTTACCACAACTGAAAGTTTTTTAAAAAAGAACTAAAAAAAAAAAAGAAATCAACTTAAGGGGCCTGAGTGACGTCAGTAAATACTGACAAACATAAAGACTAAAGTGACCAGAAAATCTGATAAATAAATATTTAAATAGTCTTTTGATGAAAATAAACAAAACAAACAAATATATAAATAAACAGAATAGCTTTAGGTGGGAATAACATACTACCAGTTTTAACTGTGTGAGAAACTGCCCACAGCCTGGTGTCTGAACACTGAAATATTTCTCCCGGGGTCGGGAGATTTATTTTTTTTAATTATCATGTGATTGACTTGATACGCAAACTGAGCACGAGAAGCAGGACGCCGGTGTTGTGTCGTAGAATGCACCCCTGCCGAATGCACCCCCTGCTAGTAGCCATGATCCAAATACTCACGTCTTTGTAAAATATGAGCTCATTTTCTTCCACTTTAAGAAGCTAATGAGTGGACGGGATGCAGGGGTGCATTCTTCTCACCTTTTCAACCCCTGACCCATTTTCATGCCTGAAGCGCTGTGTTTGAGAAAAACTTGCGGCCGGGCACTTCATATCGCGGGTCGAGAGTGGCTAGAAGCTGGTCGAAGCCAGGCTTTTCAACGGTAGTTATTGGCAGTATGTCCCTCGCTATGCAGCATGTTACTGCATGGGTGATGTCCTTATGCCGCTCGGACGCTTTGTCGTATTATGGCAAGAAACGAAGTCCAGTTTGGTCTGCTTCACTTGCTTCGTGCTGGTGCTGGCAGCGGTTCCAGAGGATTCCTCCTCCGACGACGTGGAGCCGCGGCGCGGCCGACACAGCTCGTACTCCTGTGGGTGTGACCGGTTTAGATGGTAAAACAAGTTGGTTGTGTTACCAGACTTGGTTTTTACTAATTCTCTGCAAATTTTGCAAACGACCGCTGTTCGCTTTTTGTCAGACTTCTAAAAACCAAAACATTGCCATGCTGGTGAACTACTGACAATGTCCTCCGCTTCTCCTTGCTGTATCATTTTTTCTAATACACGTGCTGTCTGTTGTGGTTTGATAGGGGCTGGGCTTGGTGCCGTAGCGTACCTGAGTCTGCGTTTGTGATTGGTTGGGAGGAAGTAATGACTGTAGCAAAAGCTACATGATAGGCTATGATGAAAAAGAAAGGGAAACTGTGTTTTTCTATCGAACTTTTTATCGACCCGTTTTTTTTCTATCGCAGCACACGTCTATCGATCGATATATATTGTTAACGAATTATCGTCCAGCACTAGCCTGAAGACATGGTTACGCACAACTATGACACAAAAAAGACTGACGCACATCGCTCTCAGGCATGTTCATGCAGATGTTATGGACAGTCTGGACATTGGCAGCCTACTGAGGAGCTTCATCAGCACCATTCCGGAGAGGAAGGCCACATTTTGAGTTGAATGACACTTTCCTTTTAAAATGCTGTGCCGCGCAACAGGCTGCGCCCTTGCTCATGGAGTTACAGTCACATTAACAGCAGCTGTGACGAATTGTTTACCATTGACAAGGGGATCAGCACCATGGACAGTTATACGGGCACATTGTTACCTCCGCGAAGGAGGTTGTGTTTTCGGTAGCGTTGGTTTGTTTGTTTGTTTGTCTGTTAGCAACTCTACGGAGAAAGTTACAGATGGATTGACCTGAAATTTTCACCAGAGGTGCGTCTCAGCCCCAGGAGGATCCCATTACATTTTGGTGGTGATCCGGATCGCCTTCTGGATCCAGGAATTTTTTGAAGGATTCTTTATCATTGTGAGATAGGGCAAATTTGGGAATTTTTGCATTTAACTCTATAAAAATGGCCAGAGTCTTTAGTAAAAAATTACACAAAAGGATCTCAATGAGTTTTATGAGGTGTCAAAGGTTGATCCTGATCCAGACAAAATTCCGGATACTGTGATCCAGAACACACAAAAATAAGGGTGTCGTTGGAATTTTCAATGCTGAAAGATAACCAATGAAGATACAAGGAAGTGTACGCTCACAAATATTGCATAATAAATCATGCATTTATCTATCTAATATGAGCTTTGTTGTTTTAGGAACATTATGAACAGTGAACATACCAGTTTAAACACAAATAAAAGTTAATAAAAGACACGTAACAGTAAAAGTTTTGGTGTGAATCACAATATAAGGGGGGACATGAGCTGCTTGGCGGAGGTCTGCGCTCTCCGAGTGCTTTTCTAGTTTGTTCTGGTTCCATTATGTATTTCCCTTTGTTGTCTAAGTAAAGATTTTTGCAGTCTTAATTACTGTGCGGGAATTTTTAAATCATTAATGCAGTGAGTTGCAAGTGCAGGGCAGAGCTTTTTTTTTTCTCAGCCCCCCTTGTTAAGAATATGTTCCTGTGGCTATGGTTACCCGTGTCATTTTCAAGGACTTCTCTTCTGCAGAGCTCCAGTAGCTCATTAGCAATTCACCTCTGAGTCATGGGTTCTGCACACTCCTCTTCACGCTAGCTTGCAGCCTAACATTGCTCGTGTAGTAGGCGTGGCAAGTAACATAGAAGCTATTTAGCACTCAGACACTTATAGCTTTGGGGACACGATGAAAGTTTATATCATCACTAGTTTTCTTACGAGGATTGATATCCCTGTACGCACATGCTCATCCACGATCATCGTCTCTACTTTTCCGATTGTGGCCTGCATGGCGGGGCTCTGGGGGCGGAGCTCGGATTTGCTACATAGGAAATCTTATTGTATCTGAGCCTGCTGTTTGGGTCTGCCAGAGATTCTTAGCAATTTGAATGCAGAAATACTCATAAATGCAATATTTCACTTACTTTTCTCGTGATATGTCCTGTAGCATCAGAAAAATGCCATATGAACATGTAGACAACAAGAAAAACATGATTTTCATTGGAGTGAGGCTTCAAGACTGCTCTCACAACATCATGAGCAAATCTGATCAATGAGTAAGAGTAAGACCGATGAGGATGAAGAAATCTTATAATCAATTCCAAAAGATACTGGGAGCAAATCCAAAGACTTTGAAAGTGGCATAATGTGGGCCCTCTCTCTGGTTTTTGGCAGCATCTTTGCATCTCTCAGTTTTGCAGCAGTTGAAGCTGAGATTTGTCCTTTTTAGAGAGACTGGAAAGAAGAGCATTACAATAATCTGCATGTAATAAATGTATGAATTCGTGTTTCTTGGTTTAAGAGAGTGACTGTTTCACTGTAGCAATGTTTTTCAAGTGAGGAAATGTGACTCAAAACTGAGGTCTAAATCAAATATCACTCCAAGATTCTTGACCTGCTGACACAGGTTAAAAGAAAGTTCTGTGAGCTCAGTATTCAGTTCCTCTCTTCAAACACTAGTATTAAAGACCCAAGGCTGAGTTTTGTCTCAGTTGAAAAGGAAAAAAATCTTTGATATCCATGTCTTGGTATCTAAAATACAATTAGAAATATCAAATGTGTCAAAATTGACCAGTACTTTGTTGGAATTTCTCATTTCGTCTTCTAAAAAAAAAAAAATCTCAGATAAAGCAGGTGAAAGACATCTACTACTACCATTACTATCAATGGCAACCGAGAGTAAAGGTGTGTGACAACCGTCTCCATCAGATGTTAAAAATAGATGACTGTACAGTTTGTTGATGCTCTAAGAAATGTAATAATGACTAAGACTCCACAGACACACACTATTACTCAATCAGACATGCTGCTGGAGGCTGTTTTACCTGACTGAAATCCAAAACTACATCATCTCAGTCTTCAGTAACACATAGAGCAATGCAAGAAATGAACTCACTGCCTTTTTAAATCAATCAAACATCATATAACCTTCTACTGCTTTAAGAACCACCTACAGAACATTTAATATTATATTATATACAATATATTGACATAGATTTAATGGGTATACTACTAGCTGCAGGGAAAATGGCAATCAACAAAAAATATCAGATGAAAGCTTGACCAAGGGGAAATAATTAGCTGGATGCGACCATGAAGATGTACATGATGTCTTAAGAAAACGGGGCGCCGGTCTGTGGCAACCCGACAGTTCTCTTGTTTCTGTGATGGGATGAACTGTAAATGGGAACTTCCCCTTGTGGAATTCATAAAAGAGTATCTTATCTTTTCTTATCTTATCATCTTATCTTATCATGTCCTATGATGGAAAAGATTAACTTCTACTTGAACCAAAAGCTGGAAAGGTTCAAATCCCTCTGGGAAAAGTAGGAGAAATATGTCAGGGTTTGGGTTAGACCTGAGTTTGCAAAAAGATTTTATTACGTTGATAAACTAAGGCCAGACTTGTTTAGCAAAAGATGATCTTTAAAGCTTTAATATGTTTCTGATTTTTTGTTCCTGAATAACACCCCAGACTCTTTGAATCCATAGATTTAAGGGCTGCTGGTCAAGTTCTCTAAGGACCTTTTTTTATTTATTTATCTTTTAAATTTAATCATATTTCAACCTAATTATCATATATTTCTGACAAACATAATGACAAATGTTGGATTTGTTGTCAGCAAAGGGAAACTTGTTTTCCACTTACTTTCCTCCAGCACAACAAACAAGAAACAAAAAAAGAAACAAGAAGATCCTGCAAGCTTGTTCCTTGTTGCTGTAATGTATGACAAGAAAAACCTTGATATGGGGAGGAGATAAATTAACATATTGACCTGAGATGAGTGTTAAAAAATAGGTAAGAGAGAGGGGTAAAACTGATTAATTGTTGGTGGGTGCAGATCAATGGACTGCATTTAAAGGAAGCACAGTGATACTCTTGGGTACAACATACAGG